GTCATGTAAGGCCACTGTCTCACCCGCCACCCCCGTTGGGGGCCCTCCTTGGGGTGTTGACCCTCTGTCCCTCTCTCCATCCATCCCATAGGAGAAGCTGCAGCACGGACAAGTCTCCGGGCTCCAGCTCGGTGGGTTCACCCGCGTCCCAACGCAAGGACATCGGTCGCTCCGAGTCATTGCGCGTCGTCTCTCGTGCCCATCGCATCTTCCGTCCCTCGGACCTGATCCACGGCGAGGTGCTGGGCAAGGGCTGCTTCGGCCAGGCCATTAAGGTGGGCTTGGGCGGCAACGAGTGTCACAAGTGGGAGGGTCTCAGCTCCCTGGGGTGGAGAGAGGGGTATCGTCTCCCCTGGGGTGTCCCCACGGGCGGGGAGCCGGTGGCTCAGCCCCGGTACCCTCTGCCAGGTGACGCATCGGGAGACGGGCGAGGTGATGGTCATGAAGGAGCTGATCCGCTTCGACGAGGAGACGCAGAGGACCTTCCTCAAAGAGGTGAGCGGCCCCTTTCTTTAATCCTCCTGGTTTGGGGGGGGACACAAGGGATGGGGCTGTCCCATCTTGTCCCTCACCCTGACATGGGATGCTGGGCATGACAGCTGGAGTGGGGGTGGCCAGGCGGCAGTCGCCCCTGCCCCTTCAATGGAGAACATGTGAGCAGCGGGTCTGTCCGGGTGGGTGCCAAGTGTCTTGGGGTGTCACAGGCATGGGGGGGTCCTGCAGGTGAAGGTGATGCGCTGCCTGGAGCACCCCAACGTGCTGAAGTTCATCGGGGTGCTGTACAAGGAGAAGAGGCTCAACTTCATCACGGAGTACATCAAGGGGGGCACCTTGAGGAGCCTCATCAAGAGCATGGTGAGCACTGGAGGGACAGGTTAGCCCCCCACCCCACAGTCCCGGTGGGGCTGGGGGACCCCTCTCCTCTCTCCTCTTCTCTAGCAAATTCCCCCTCCTTCCCCCAGGACAGCCACTACCCCTGGAGCCAGCGGGTCAGCTTCGCCAAGGACATCGCTGCTGGCATGGTGGGGGCCAGCAGGGACGGGTGGGTGGGATGGGTGCTGGTAGGTGGGAGACTGTGGGGTGGGGGTGCCCACTGCTCTCAGCCCATCCTTTCCCCCAGGCCTACCTCCACTCCATGAACATCATCCACCGTGACCTCAACTCTCACAACTGCCTCGTGCGGGAGGTGAGTCCCACCTCGGTGGTGTCCTCCCCTGGCCCAGGTGGGGGTCTTAGCCAGCTGCATGACTCCCCCCATGCCTCACCCTCTCCATCCACCTAGAACAAGAGCGTGGTTGTGGCTGATTTTGGGCTGGCACGGCTGATGGTGGATGAGAAGAACCAGCCTGAACATCTCAAGAACCTGAAGAAACCAGATCGCAAGAAGCGGTACACAGTGGTGGGGAACCCATACTGGATGGCCCCCGAGATGATCAATGGTGAGCCTGGCCACAGTGCTAGGAGGGGGAACATGGCCAGCCAGGGCTCTGTCCCCAAGCAGGGGGCACTTGGTGGGGCAAAGACAGGACGTGTAGCATGGCCTGACCCAGCTCTCCCTACAGGGAGGAGCTACGATGAGAAGGTGGACATCTTCTCCTTCGGCATCGTCCTGTGCGAGGTGAGTACCACTGGGGTTCGGGTCTCCCCTTGATGTTGAGGTCCTTATTGTGATTGGGGTCTCTGGTTGGGGTCCTTATTGTGTTTGGGGTCTCCCCTTAAGGTTGAGGTCCTCATTATGTTTGGGGTCTCTCCTTTGGGATTGGGGTCTCTCCCTTGGGATTGAGGTCTCCTCATTGTGTTTCGGGTCTCCCCTTGGGGTTAGGGTCTCTGGTTGGGGTCCTTATTGGGGTTGGGGACTCTGATTGGGGTCCTTATTGTGTTTGAGGTCTCCCCTTGGGGTTGGGATCTCCCCCTTGGGGGTAGTGTCCTCATTGTGTTTGGAGTGTCTGGTTGGAGTCTCCCCGTTGAGGTTGAGGTCTCACTCTTGGGGTTGGGGTCCTCATTGTGTTTGAGATCTCCCCTTGGGGTTGGGGTCCTCCCTTGGGGCTGAGCCCACTCCTCCCTCCTGCTGTCCCCCAGATCATCGGCCGGGTGAGCGCCGACCCCGACTACCT